TGGGCAGAGGGCAGTAAGCTGCTCCACACCAAGGCCACTGAGATTGAGTTTTGGAGCCTCTTCCAAGACATCAGCCCTAGAAATAGCACTTTGTGTTACACAGGCAGGCAGGTCCTGCCTGGACAAGCTCAAAGCTTTAGCCAAAGGTCTTCCCTCGGCTCTGCCACCGCCGTCCATTGCCTGGTCTAGAGCTGTCAGTGATCTCGCTGGGCTCTCCAGTACTAAATGGGGAGGAGAAATAGTTTGGCGGTGTGATTGTGGGGGCATCAAAGCAGAGGTTCCTTTCACCCTGCATCTCGTAATTCAGATGTCATTGGACTCTGCCATATTGGAGAGTCAGTTCATCCTGCCTCTTTGCAAGCCTGCCAGAGCAAATCAGATCCCTCAACTCTGCAGAAATTGATTCCTCGGACAGAAAATGAAACGAGTGAAATTACAAAAAGCATTATTTCCACATCCTGAAAGCGACAAGGGGGCAAAGCACCTTCCAATGACACCACTCTCTTGACCCCTAACTTGTTATGTTGTTTGACTTGCTCTTGGTAACTTTATCCATCTGCTTCCCACTCATTCCAGCGAGAACTGTGCATTGCAAGCTTGGCGTGACTCTTTGAAGAGACAGATTAATCCAAGCAGCTTTTAGCTAAGTTGTGTGCTAAAATTCCTACTTCCTGGATCCGATCACAAGATGGCATTACAGCCTCAGAAGCCGAGCTCACTGTGATTACAGTTAGAGATCCTTCCCAAACCCCTAGGTGTCCTCGGCTTTTCAAGAAGCTGTGCGTTTAACCCTACCTGCTGAGCGCTTTCACTTCATCAATAGATTCAAGCATGTGGTGTTTTGTTTCAATTGCACCATGCTAACGTCAAGGCTGTGGCTTGAGCATCCAGCAATGCCATATGGGCAATGGATACCTGCCGCGATTGTGCCGGTAATTTTGTGAGCAATCTGATTGCATGGGCTCAAGCTAGCTATTGTGCTGATAGCTAATGGCACCCAGCACGCCTTTAATACTGGCCGACAACAGCTCTGCCCTTCCAGTGTTGTGCTCACCCCAAGCAGGGATGGCCACTCAGACCCAGCAGTGGAGTAGCGTGGGGTGAAGCTGCATCAACATGAGGGCGAGTCATTGACAGTGCGTATGTGGGTCCAGGTTTTTTTTAAAAGCACATTTAGAACAGGTCTTTGTGCATCCTGGAACCGATTTGGGACAGTAATGACCAAGCGCTGAAGAATTTATGGAGCAAAGAAAACAAGACGGCCCGTTTCTCACTTGGCTCATTGCAAAAACCGAAACTAATTCTGAGTTCTGGGGCACTAAATGCCTGTATTTGCAATGAACAAGCTCTGGTGTGCCCATGTGCAACGTTACCCTCCACTGGACGGCATCAGAATTGTTCAGCTAGCAACACAGCCCCTGGCACTTGTCTTCAGCCAGGGGGCAGATGCATGGTGTAGGTTTAGCCGAGTTAACCCTAGAAAAACAGCTTTTATAAGGGGAACACTAACACACTAATAGCAGCCCAGGCAAAGAGCATTAAGGATGCTATTCAGACATGCAATGCTGAGAATCAACTGCCCCTTACTGTGGTTTAAATAGATAGGTCCCCAGAAGGATCATCGTGATGCTCTGGTCTGACCTCCGGCATGCTGCCTGACAATTACACACAGCACAACTCAGCACATGGCCACGTTGTGACATAATGAGTGTCAAAAGTTCTGCTAATTGCTGCTCTGATTCCACTAACCTGTTACCCTGGCTTGTTTGCAGGGGAGACTGGTGCCTGCCAGGGGCGGGGGTGCAGGAAGGGCCACCCAGAGGGACTGGAGAGGGCACGAGAAAGCACCCATCTGGTAATTTAAGATTTTTGGTAGGTGCATGGGAGCAGAGTAGCCACCTGTGGGACCTGGAATGAGGAAACTGTCCTGCCATGGCATTCAGCCCTGCAGTCAGTAGAGGTGCATCTACACAGCACCATAACTTGAAATAAGATATGCAGCTTGAGTGATGCAAATTGCTTATCTTATTGAAATGCTATTTCCAAATAGCTTATTTCATCATTTGGTGCTGTCTACACAGGGCCAAATATCGAAATAAAGTGCTATTCCAAAACGCCCCTTACTCCTTTTAGGCTTACAGGGATGGCAGACTAGCGAGCCCGAAATAATGGGCTTGCTGTGAAGACGCAGGATAGTTATTTCGGGATACTCAGGTATCCCGAAATAGTCTTGCCGTGTGGACGTATCCTCAGAGACAAACTGGGCTGAGCAAACCTAGCACTGCTCTGAATTGTACTTTCAGGCAAAGGGCTCCAGGCATACCTTGCATAATCAGCTTCTCTGAAGGAACAAGGAGCAGTGCAGGCCTCCTACCTGTCTGCCAAGGATGTGGGTGGATGGAGACAATTTAGTCCCTGTTCTGCAGCTTCTCTGAATGGCATCAAGGCCTTTCTTTTTTAGAGGCGCTAGAGACATTGCTGCCCTCCAAGGTTAGCTCTCTCTGGAAACTGACAAGGAGGGAGCGATGGGAGCTAAAGCTGCATTGAAGGGAGATATTTCTCCTGCACTGGCTCAGAGGGCTGCAGGAAAGGCAAAGATACAGCTGTAAGTAGCGATTTTACTAGGCAGATGAGCTCCATGTGTGTCAGTCCAGAAGAAATTCTGTATGGACTGCAGCATCTAGAGCAGCTTTGAAGGGCAGAAAAAAGCAGAACAGACAGCTGCAATACGCACACAGCAGTAGCCCAGGGAGAATACAGGCTCACTCCAAGCTGGGGCTTTAGGAAAGCCTGAGCCCTGTCTGGCATGTGACTCAGATGCATAGGAAGAACACTAATTATTCTTCTTTGCTGAGCCCAAGCGCTGTGCGGCGACATACAAGGCACAGAGACGTAGGCTGGGATCACAGTCAAAAGCTGACGTGTATGCAGGGTCACTCAAAAGTGGCTGACTAATAGGAAGGAAATGATGGTAAGTAGAGGGGGAAAGTATCAAAACTCTGGTACCGAAGACCTGTCTGCGCTCATGTTTAGCAGCAATGCAGATGGTGCTCGAGAGAGAAATGTGCAGCAGCAGTCAAATAAGCTAACAGAAAGAGCCGGTCTTTTTCTGGAATCAGCATGTCTACACGGGTGGTCATACCGGTGTAATGAGCGCCAGGACTGTCCCTAGGGGGGGTGCAGGCCCAGGACAAGTCACCAGTTTGGGGGCCCTCCTTAACATTTTTGTATACAAGTGAAATCTGCTTACAGTGAACGTCAAGGACAGATACTGGCTTCGCGTTACCTATTGATAATGCCCAGCTGTGTAATTATAATTATATTGTAGCTCTTTTTTATTATTCTAATGGAGTTCAAATAATTAAAGACCCACTGATCATGCCACACCGCTTACATTCTGACTTCCTGGCAGCAAACTCTGCTCTCAGATCATGGTGAGCCAGGTTTGATGCTCCTTCCTTCTCAATGGGCAGCGTGGCACGTCCACCTGGCCTCTCTTGAGACGCCGCTGATTGTAGCTAATTCTTAATCACTTTCCATTTGGAAAAACGTTGCTCCTCTGAAGCCACAGTTGCCAGCAAAACTCTGTCTGCTATGGCTGTGTTTGGGAAGTCACCATCCCGGCTAATTTCTCTCCCACTAGTCCCCTCGCCCCACACCACTCTCCCTCGAATTACACCCTTCCTCTGACTCCTAATGTTCCCTGCCCAGGGAACATTCACATGCCTATTTCCTCCTTCCCCCACAGATTACAGTCTCCTCAAAATCAAATTGCCAGCACCCCAAGTCACAAAGTGTAACATCTGTAGGCATCCGTCGCAAAACTCCTTTTGTCTCATGGGGCTGTGATTGACTGATCCTGGTGATGCTAATGTATGGTGGGGTGAGTTCACACCCTCTGTCTCCCTGAGCGCTGTCTGTGGTTCATCCAGACATAGTCTCTCACTCTCTGTTTAACAGATTCGGGGAGCAGAGGGCGATCGGGTAGTAACTCAGGTCTCTTGCCGGACCCCACCTTCTGCACTCATCGTGCCAGAGGAACAGCCTTGAAAGACTTTTTACCCAGGGAGGGGAAAACTACAGTGATCTGACCACAGGATCAAGCCAGGAAGAGGGAGCATCCCGAGTTACAAAGAGGGAGCCATTGCGCCCAGGGCAGAGGGATGGAGCGAAGGAGCGGCATCACTCTGGTTGAGTTAGCTCTCAGATGAGCCACCAGGAGGCGCTGCAGCTGAGAGTGGGGAGCACTGTTTCAGAACCACTTACTTTCTCCTCTTTTGTTTTTAAAAGTCAAACAAAGTAAATTCAAAACAAAATGTGGCTGAAACGTGCGTAGAAAGAAAAACGTGAAACTCCTTGTTCCAAAAATGTCAAAATGGGGTCTTCTACCATAAGACTTCTTTCCAGTTCCTTTAAAAAATATTTCATAAAATTTCACATGTTAACTAAAATGGCATTTTCTAATGGAAAGCTGTATTAACCAAAACCTTCCCCAGCAGCTCTAATTAAAAGATGAGTGAACAGGAGCGGCCAGTTTCTGGCTTTATCCTCCCAACACTGCTGTGATACGGCTGCATTGAAGCTCTTCCTCAGCCCTCCTGATCCTGGGATACTGTCAGGCCCCAGTGGTGAAAGAGCCCAAATGTCTTTGCTTTCCACTGACGAATTAGTTTTTACAAGTGTTGCCTGTGTAATGCGAAGCTATGGAGCTTAAGAGTCAGCTGAGAGGCACATTGATTTCTGAAGGATCTTGCTGCCTACTAATGTGTTCCTCTTTCCTTCTCTGAAGGAAAATAGGAAACAACTGTAGGAAGGCAGCTTGATCTGGATTTGTCTTTAAATGCCACTTTCCCCCAGCAGATGATGGGAAGGTGCAAGGGTTGTAGAGCTAGAGGGCAGGAGGGTGAGCAGAAACTGAGAGTGCCAACCCCTCGCGGTCTGGAGCGTGTTCTGAAGCGGAAGGTTAGTCCTTAGGCTGTGACACTGGAGCGGGGTCCTAGTCACAGACTATGCTGAGCTGGCGTAGCGTTTCTTGGCCATCTGGGCTGGACAAGAGGTGAGTCCACTGAGCGAAGTGGACTTGGGAGCTATGCGCGAGTGGATGAGACAGAGATCAAGCAGCAGTGCACGGCAGGCCAAGTAGCACAAAACTAGGGATGTAAAATCCCATTGAATCAGTTAACTGGTTAAACATTACGTTTAACTGCTTAACCGATTAAGTGGGATCCCATGGGCGGGGCTGGCAGCTGGCTCCCAGCCCTGCAGGGCTGCCGGCTCCCAGTCCCATGAGGCTCTGGCTGCCGTCCCCACAGGACTGCCGGTTAACCACTTACCAGAAAGCATCACCCAGTAAGGCGATCATCCGGTAAGGGTGCTGCTTATCGGGTAACCGGTTACCTGTTCAGTACCCTACACGGAGTTTGACACTGGTTCATGGCTTGGGCTCCAGGAACTTCTGGGGAGTAGTCAAGGAATGGTTGGTTCTGAGTCCTTGAGCCCCAGTCAGATGGCCACGCATGCCAATGTGGCTGCAGCACAAACCCCAGGCAACCAGAACAAATATTTTAAAATACTTGATAGGGGCATGCTCAGGGCCAAATCCTCAACTGGTGAAAACTGGTGCTGTTCCGTGGGACCTGGCTCATTGACACAGGCCCTCAGTCTGTGCCTAACTGGAGTGTCTTCACCAGCAATGACGGCAGGACAGGGAGGGCTGCATCCCCTTCCTGTGGGGAAAAAGAAGGCTCTGTTGCAAGGCTCATCAATGTATCTCCCTCCTGTTTGCCGGGCCCTTCCGGATGGCCCAGGGCAGAGAGGAGACCACTGTGTGTCACATGCACTTGCCTTCCCCCCCACGTCTTGGAGAATGGAAGCTTAAATGTGGCAAAATGCAGGGAACTGAGGCCATCCTGAAGAGGAAGGGGGGGATTTGAGCCATGGCGTCTCATTCCCCTGCCCTGGCATCTCTTTTGATTTATATTTACTGTAAATTCCGTTAATAGCACATAAAGGGGAAGAGTAAATTAATCTCTGTCGGGAGCGAATATCCCGTGAGGTTCATAGTGCCTAATCTCGCGTGCTGAGAAGGGCTGGTTAGTGTATGGGCTGCACGTCTCCTTGGGGAGTTTGAAAGTCAAAAACACCAGCCAATGAGCGCTCTCAGAGGAACACGCTTGCTCACTCCAGGTGCCTCAGGGCGCTGAGGGGTGGGGTACAGTGTCTGACTTGTGTGGAGGATAAAGAGAGCTTCATTTTTTTTTGCAAGCTTTCCCACTAGAGAAACGTCATGTCTCAACAAAACAGAACTGTCTGTTTTCATAGCAAAATGGCTCCAGCACCGTTCATGGGACTGAAACGAAAGCAACCTACATCTTATCGGCAAGAGCCAGGGCACACTGTTCACACATGTATTACTGTCGAGTAATACCAGGCCCCATGATAGCCTCTGCTGTCTGAGTATTTCTACATGCTTTACACAGGGAGGCTCCAGCCCTATTTTAATGAAAGGGAAACTGAGGCTCAGAGCACATAAGAGACTTGACCAAGATCAGAAGGGGGTCAGTGGCAGAGTGAAGAACACAGGACAACTCCCTTGACTTCCAATCCCCACTTCTAACTACTAGACCACACTTCACCCGGACAGGACTTATAAGTAATTTACAGGGTTGTCTAATGACACCTCTGCATACAGAGGTGAAAAATGCCAGAGAACAAGTCCCAGGTGTGGAATGGCCTCTCTAGCATGTGCCCAGAACTGGGTCTAATTGCATGATTTAGAAAAGAAGTTCTCAGCCAGGCGTTCCTGGGGGGGCCTCAGTCCAGTTTCAGAGATCTGCAGGGCCTTGCGGCTGAAGCCCAGAGCCTGCAGCCCCTGTTCCCTCCTGCAGAGCTGAAAGCTGGAGGCCCCGCTCCCTCCCTACCCCCGGCAGAGCTGAAACCCGGAGCCCCTGCCCCTACAGAGCTGAAGCCAGGAGTGGAACAGCAGGGCTGCTGAAGCCCAGAAGTTGGAGCCCTACACTCCCCCTCCTCCCCGGGCTGAATCCCAGAGCCCAGTGCCCATACGGTGCTAAAACCCAGAGCCTGGAGCCATGGCAGCCCTTTGGGGTTGAAGGCTGGAGTCCCGAGCAACCGGCCCTGGAGCGGCTCTGGGGCAAAAGTTCTGAGTCCCCCATCCCAGGGGCCTAAAACTAGAAGCCCTGAGTCCCAAGCCCCACACGGCAGAAAGCGCTGATCCTTGGTTGCTAAAACCCAGAGGCCCAAGTACCCTGCCCTGCGACGGCATCCCCAATCCCACAGAGCTAATGCCCCGAGCAGGTGCTCCCCACACCCCACCCTGGCTGGTGAGTGAAGTCCAGAGCCCTGCGCCCCCCTTCCATGGCTGAAGCCCTGAGCTCCAGTCTCACAGGGCTAAAACACCCCTCCCCCAACTGCGCCACCCCCCCAGTGATCCCTGGAATTTTTACAGCAGGTTGGGGAAGGGCCTGATGGGGGTGTGTGTCAGCTGCAGGCCATGGGGGATTGCAGCTGGGCAGGTCCATGCGCTGGCTTTGCTCTCTCCTAGGCAGAGCCGGGTAGCTGTGGAGAGCTCACCGGTCACTCCCGCCTGCAGAGGAGGGCGGAGGCTGGGACACTGTTTAGATGCCCTGGGGGTGAGGGACGAGTTTTATCTCAAGGGGACTGTCAGTGTGTTAATTGATGGCTCCCCGACCCCCCCTCCCCCACAACGTGTGGGGTGTTTTAAATCCCCAGTGCAAGGCTGGCCAATGGGGAAATGTTGCCCATCCAGGGCGCAGGGGGGTATTTAGCAGGGGTGGCCAAACTGCAGCTTATGAGCCACCTGCAGCTCTTGTCCAGTTAAAGTGTGGCTCACAGAGCCCCCCCGCCTCCCTCATTCTCCACCTGCCACGTGGGCGGGGCTTCAGGCTTCGGCCCAGTGGGGAGGGGCCTAGGGGCTTCAGTTGCCCTAAGCAGGAGGCACCTGGCTCTCAAACCTCTCTAGCTCATTGCATGTGGCTCGGTGGATCAGTTCGTTTGGTACCCTGGGTATATCATCCCCCCGCCCCGTCTGGGCTGGGGCTCGAGCCAGCATTCAGCCGGTAGAAAGAAGGCCTGGAGTACTGAACTGAGGCCCTTTGGGCTGCTGACCTCAGCTGGCAGAAGCTGCCGCCGCGCCCCAGAACTAAGGCATGGGGGGGAGGGTGCTGGCGGCACCACAGTTAGCAATGTAATCTATCGGACTAGCCTCCGGATTCCCTCCGACAGGCATGCTCTTCACCCCCTGCCGTTGGCCAGGCAGACGGGCCCTGCATTCAGGGCCCCCTGCTGACTGTACTGGGGTCAGAATGGTACCACAGATTGGTTGCCTTACTTTGCCACTGCAGTATTCAAGGACAAATAAAAGTACCATTTGGACTAGTGGCATCTGTGCGGTGGCCCTGCTGGACCGGAGGCCACCCGAGGAATAATTCCCCAACCCGTGCGTTAAGACACGTGCTTTTCATTAATGGGTAGCAGGACTCAGCACGTAGACCCTTTCCAGTGTAAATACAGCGAGGGTGGCTTTTTTGTCAGACGAGGCCATGATTACACTTTTACGACATCTATAAAAAGTAACTATTCCCTTTATGGCTGGGAGATCTCAGACAATAGGACCATTAGCTACAGCGACATTGCAGAAAACGTAACTGTATATCACTGACTATATTGCATCTATAAATATCTGCGTGCTAGGGGATGCTGTACTTGTTTTGTGCATCCTTTCACTGCAACCTGACTGGAGAAGGATTGGCACAGAGGCATGGCATTATGGTAATGATTCAACGTCCTATAAGCTTCCCTTGCCGAGGGAGAGTATAGCCACAAGGCCCAGGAATCCACTGGTGCCGCTTTTTTCCCCAGGCATATTCCACGTTCTTTGTACGTAACGGGCTTTAATTCTTCCCAGTAAATGTGCTGCTGCTGAGTTCCAAACACAAGCCTTAGTCTCTCTTTCTCTCTCTCTCTCTCAATTAAAACCAGCAAAATAATAAAGCACCAAACAAACTAGGTCTCTGCTGTATTAATCTGACTGTTGCGAGATTTATTAGAGTCCTCAGCCCCTCACTGCTATGTAAATGTCCAAATCCAGTGAAGGAGATAAGCTGATGGTGAAAGGTCCATTCAGTTATTCACAAACGTTCTGCGTGTGGTCAGGTGTGTCTGGCCCCATTGGGAAAAGCTGGCCAAACAGTCATGCTCTGCAGAGTTCTGGTTGCTCTCCACGGACCGTGACTTGAATCCACTCTCTCCCCAAGACTACCCCCCCGTTGAGGAGAGCCAGCAGGGATAAGGTTTAATCAGACTCACATAACCTCCTTCCCACCTTTGCAACCTCACTGCTCCTGGCACGCAGCATCCAGAGGTTCACACCCCAGCAGGAGCAACTTTCTGCGTAAGGTACAAAACTCTGTCATTTGGCTGGCAGAGTTTAGAGGCTCTGCAGCTTCATCCCCAAGCCTCCTCCCTTCCCCCGCCTTGTCTTGAGTTCAATTCAGGACCAGATCCGGT